CAGACAATGGGCCACTGCGATTCCTGTGGTTTCCACTGGCTAATAATTTTAGGGGGCCCATCGTTCTACACTGTATCAGACAATGGGCCACTGCGATTCCTGTGGTTTCCACTGGCTAATAATTTTAGAAGCAGATCACCAGGACCCTTTTCCTACTCCGTTTTCATCTGGAAACCTGTTCACCACGCGCGAGCCTGGTGATCTTGGCAGTACCAGTGGCCTAACTTCCAGTCTCCCAGCAACACACAAACCGTGCCCTAGCAGTGGCTGGTGCTTCCCAACTGCAGACCTTTCGGATTGCAGCCCAGCGTGTAGCCATGCGCCACCAGGGCTCCTTTCAATTGCTCCTATGCAAATTCCAATTCCAGAGGAAGAAACTGAAGCATGAGTTTAGAGAGCATCTCAAGAACAAACTGGACACATGGCATATTAGTGACCGAAGACCAGATGAATTGTGGGATGACACCAAGGATATTATACATGACGAAAGTATAAGGTCCTTAAAAAGACATGAGAAAAGTTCAAAACAGATATCAGAAGAGACTCTGACACCTGCTTTTGAACATAGAGTAACTAAAGCACATGGGAGAACCGATGGAGTAAGAGACCTGAACAGAAGATTTCAAAGTGCAGCTCACAAAGACAGTGCACTATCCTAATGAACTCTGCAAAGGCTTGGAGTTAGAGAACTGAATGAAGAACACACTTGGTGTCTCATGCTGAGAGACCCGAAGCAAAAAATCAATCCTCAAGTTGAAATCCTGAAGGATTCTATGGCAAACTATCGAACAACACAGGAAGCATCGAGAGAAGACAGAAGGTTGTGTTAGTCTGGGTGGACAATAGCCACTCATATAAGAAAGCGTTTATATACAAGAGCAATATTGTATGTTGTATGTTGAGAAAACACCCAGCCCAGTTCAGATCAAGTCCATAAGTCCTATATCAGTCCCTAAATTCCTACTTAGATTCATGCAGCACATGCAATGATGCCGAATGTAGGAAGATCACAGCCCAGTGGGTAGAAAATCTTGTGGATTCAGCGGCAGTGGAAGAATCTCAGTGCTGGTACAGATCTCCACGTGTCTCCTCCAGCTCTCCGAGTGTCTCAACAGCAGGAAAGGGAAGGCAGAGAGAGTGGGTCTGGCCTCCAGTGAGCTATTTATCTCTGTTGTGCCTCCAAATGAGGTCATCAAGCTGCAACCTGATTGAAAGGCTAGACTCCCACGCCTTTGCTCAAGTTGACAGGAGATTATGTAACTTCCACAAAGGTATACACTGTTCGAAAAAGATTTGGTCAACGTTCAACCATTTCAGGGGGTAGCATATAATCAAGAACTGATCAAATCAAAGGAAGAAGGCCAAACTTCCCTGAAGGCATTGGCAAAAAACAAGCCTCCGGGAATAGATGGAATACCAAGGGAACTGTTTCAACAAACGGGTGCAATCCTGGATGAGTTCACTTGTCTAAAAAAAAAAAAGATAGAAATAAATTTTGCCAATAGAAGAAGCACACCAAGCTGTGTGATCATGAGATGTTGATGGGAATAGGTATCAGAAATTCATAAACAAGTAATCAAATTGACTTGAAGGACCATAGACAAAGTAGAGACTCAACACCCATATGCAAGATAATTGGACGTCCCTCACAGAAGGTCCACACGGAAGGGATGGTATCCAAGGTGCAATATAGTACTGATGCAACACAAAACTATCCTCTAGTTTTTTAATATTTCCTCACCTTACTAGTATGGCCTTAGTTTTACCTCAATAATCTTGTTAGACCTACGTATGTTCATTTGTATAATTAAGATTGTTCTATGCATGGAATCCAAGATAAATAAGCCCCTGAGAAACAGTAAAGGGAGTAATGATTCCCTGAGAGTACAGGAAAAGAGGGTGGGAAGGGAAGGAGATGGGGAACTGAGAGCAACGATGACTGTATAACCCCACTAGAGGGGAATGGTAGATGAATGGATACATTGGATGGTGTAAGATATGGCAGTAATAATAATAATGATATATATTAAGGGTTCATGAGGTGGTAGGGTTGGGGAGGAAGGGGATAAAGGAGGACTGTATAAAAAGTTCAAGAAGAAAGAAAATGTTTTTTAAATGATGGTGGCAGCAATTGTACAACTGTGCTTGATCTAATTGAATTATGGACTGTTATAATATCTGTAAGAAATCCTAATAAAAATGATTTTTTAAGAAAAGAAGAAATCTGGCCAATGGACCAGAAGAGATCCATATTTGTGCCCATTTTAAAGAAAGTTGACACAACAAATTATGGAAATTATTGACCAATATTATTGCTGTCACTTGTAAGTCCGTTTTTTTTTTGCTGACAATAATTTTTAAATGGTTGCAACAGTATGTAAACAAGGAACTGATAGAAATTCAAGCCAGATTCAGAAGAGGATGTGGAACTAGGGATGTCACTGCTGATGTCAGATGGATCTTAGCTGAGAGCAGAAAATACCAGAGAGATGTTCATTTGTGTTTTATTGATTATGCAGAGCCGTTTGTGGATCATAACGAGCTATGGATAACAATTCTGAAAAATAGGATTTCCAGAACACTTTCATGTGCTCACAAGGAACCTGTAAAAAGACCCAGGAGCAGTCGTTCCGACAGAACACGGGGACCCTGCGTGGTTTATAATCTGGACCGATGTGCATCCGGGTTGAATCCTTCCACCATGCTTACTCAGTCTGCCTGCTGAGCAAATGATCCGCGAAGCTGAGCCACCTGGAGAAAGCTGTGGCATAGAATTGCAGGAAGGTGCGTGGGAACTTCCAGTGTGTGCTGGGTCGATGACACAGCCTTGTTTGCTGAAAGCAAAGAGGGCCTGAAGCATCCAGATGGGTTCTAACTGCACATAAAGGAAACAAAAATCCCCGTAGCTGAACTAAATGATCATCATGATAAATGGAGGAAATATTGAAGATGTCAGGCTTCATTTTACTTAGAATCAATACCCACAGCAGCAGCTGTCAAGAAACCAAGGGCAAATCTGCTACAAAAGATCTCTTGAAAATGTTAAAAAGCCAAGAGGTCACTTTGAGGGACTCAGGTGCACCGGTGCCCAAGCCTTGATATTATCAATGGAGTCATCTGTGGAAGTTCAGCCGTGAACCAGGAAGATCGAAGAAGAACCGATGCCTTTGGACTGAGGTACTGGCGAAGAATACTCAAGACACCCTTGACGCTCGGAAGAATCAGTACATTTGTCTTTGACGAAGTACAGCCAGAGAAGGGAGGACGGCAGGGCTTCGGCTTCGTCTCACGTGCCTTGGACATTTAAGAAGAGGGACCAGACACTGGAGACGACATCAGAAGGGTCGGTGACAAAGAGGAAGCCCCTCCGTGAGATGGAGTGCCACAGTGGCTGCCAAAATGGGCTCCAGCAGAGCACTGGTTTTGAGGGTGGCGCAGGACGAGGCCGTGTGGCCTTTGAAACCCTGCGGACAGCACCCAGTAACCATTAAGGGCGGGTACAGCCACAGAAAGAACCCGGCTTGGTGGTTTCTAGAAGACAAGAG